AAAAAAAAAAAAAAAAAAAAAAAAAAAAAAAGAAAAAAGAGAGTACAAACTAAAAATGCTAAATAAAATAATATAATAATATCATAATACAATAATAATAATCTAAATATCTAATATACATTTTTTACAAAGAAGGGTGTTTTAATGATCCAAATAAAAAAAAGAGAACAAGATCAAAAAAAATTATTGTCCAGCAATTTCGGCGTACCACTTATTATTTTCTTCATAACCATCACCATCTAATGATACATTATGATTATCATTACTATAAAGTGGTAACTTATTTGAAACGTTCTCCAAAATGATAATATCACCAATCGCCCATACGCCATTTGGATCATTATGGTATCCAGGCTCTGTGGTGTGACGTCTGACGAGCCAATTACTATTTTCACTTCTGCCCATAAATGACCATACTACAAAAAGTAAATCAATTCTTAGATCATTCCTTAAAAAAATTCATCAAAAAAGAAAGATCTTTAGATTTACTTACCATTATTTTCAGTAGCATGTAAACTACCTCCTGTTGTTTCATGTTTCAAACTAATGATAGAATTATAATGAATAGGATCACCAGGAACTTTATTTTCACCATAAGGTGATGATACGATCCAAATTTCATTGGCGGCAGGTCTTGACATACCATCACAAGATACCTAAATAGAAAAGAAAATTTTAGACTCAATAAAAAGCACATGCATATATGAGCGGTAAACTCGATGATAGTCTTTTAAAAAAAGCACATGCATATATAAGCGAACTAACCTTTGATAATTGAGAATCGGTTTCAATTGGAATCTGTTCACCATGAGATAAAAAATTACCAGTAGAACAATGTTTGATTGTAATTTTTGAACCATATCTAATTTGATGCATAGGATATTCATACATTATCCCTTGAAATAATCTTATAACCCAATCAAAATCATCAACATTTCTAAATTTACTTGCTAAAATATTCCTAATATTATCATCTAATAAACTATTTAATAGATAAGTTTTTTGTTCTTCTAAACTTGTAATGTTTGCAGTACGACATAAAGATAAAAATTTGGAAATAAAATCCGTCATATCTTCTTTTGGATTATATTGTATACAACGTAAATTATGTAAAGCCGAAGCATTCATTACATGAAATGTGATATGAGATTTCAATGCATTTAAAAATCCTGTGAATGTACAAGTTTTTTTCGGTATAAAAATCATTGGATCCACTTTTAATATTGCGAATGAAACTATTTCACTCTCTTCTTCTATACCATGCAAACGACAAAAAAATCTTAAATCTTGTAACCATGATTCTGGGTCTTGAGTTCCATTGTATTTACTTGGATGAACTGTTACTGCTATGAGCGGTAATTTACATGAACTACCGAAATGGTCTGACATTTATCCAAGTTTATATTATTATAAAAAGTTTTTTTTTAAAAAAAAAAAGAAGTTTTTTTTTATTTAAAAGAAAGAAAATTAAAAGGAAATTTTTTAAAATTTTTTTTAAAATTTTGTTTAAAAGATTTTAATAATTTTGTTTAAAAAGATTTTAATAATTTTGTTTAAAAAGATTTTAATAATTTTGTTTAAAAGATTTTAATAATTTTTTTTGAAAAAAAAAAAAAATAAAATTTTGAAGTGGGACGTTATA